CTTTTTTTCTTTTTTTTTTTTTTTTTGGTTCTACACGGTGGATATTTCTTCCTCCTTCTTTGTTTTTTGTCAGCTTTGTCGACTGGAAAAGGAAGAAGTGATTGAAGTGATAAAAGTATGAGGTTCTCCTAATGGCATTGTTGAAACAAGGGATGAGGAGGGAGGAGAAATTGACTTTAAAAAAGTAGTAGCTGCTGAGTGTTACAAAATATTTTTACTGATTTTCATCTGCAGTCTGGTTTATTTCTAAGTTCAGTGGTGGAAGCCGAATATTTTGGCTGTTTAGAACTTGTTTATTTGTCATGTGTTTAACCGTTACTTTTATTTCGGTGGCAGTTCTTCATTAGAGAAGGCTAAGAGATTAGACACTGTTTTATCTATCTGTATGACCCTATTTTAATGAGTTTGGTATTAATTTGTAGATCTGCCTTGATTATTTGCGATCCATACGTTGTAATTTGGTTGTGGGAATTTTCGTAATCATTTTGCTGCTTGTCTGATTACAAAATTTGGTGATTTATCTTAGATTTTTGTGCTGTTGATGTTTTGTTCCGTATCACGACCGTTGCTCGATGGACTAAACTGCTAACGTTTATTGCTGCGCAGCTAAAATGACTTGACAGAAGTTCTTGTCGATCTTTTGGACGTGAACTAGAGATTAGGAAAGTAAAGTGAAAAAGCAATTATTCAGTCTCACAATTTTTCGACAGTAGTGCGAGTTTTTACACCTTTTGTAAAAGCGTTTTAAATTAATTCTGGCGTGACCTACTGATGGGTTTTTTGTTGCTTAGGTGTTAATGGCCTTGTTTGTATAGTTTGTTGTGATTTGTCTAAAATGATTGATAGTGGTGAGATGGAATTTATTAACTGTTACAGTTAGAAATTTTTTACTTGAAGCACAGTAAGTGTATTTTATAGTTTGTTTCTATAGTCATGGAGGTTGATCAAATGGATAGATTAGAAATTAAACTTTCCTTAACAGCATCGTTCTCCAATAGGATCCATAAATACCGTGGACCTATTTCTAGCAGCCTGATCTAAAGCTACACTGATTTGGGTATGAGAAGTGTGTACTGCATTAATATTTGATTGCTTATCTCCACGGATTTTAAATGCTTGCTGTACTTGTTAAAGGTGGATGCCATTTGCTTATAAAACTTTAGCAGAAATTGCTAGCATGATAGAATTGTAGGAAGACACTTGATAGCAGAGGAACTAGCATGATAGAATTGTAGGAAGACACTTGATAGCAGAGGAAGTATTACTGCTGAAAGCCAGTTGGTTAAACCTACTTTCATGACCGATCATTGAAATTTTGCCAGATAATGCACTAATACTGGTCTCTGTTGCGGCCTGGTGGCACTCTGTCAGTTTTAAAATTTTAAAATCCGATCTAAACATTGATCTTTGCGTTATGCTCGTTCAAGAAGACTTCAGAATTGAATTCACATTACAGAGATTTCTTATTTCTTTAGTGATCTCTTCAATGCTGTTAACTACATCTATTTGAATTTTTTGATGTAAAATTATGTATTAACTTCATACACTCTCTATTCGTTTGTTAAGAGGGAAGTTTTTAAAAGGAAGTTATTTAACTTTTCTGAAAAACATTGATCTGTGTATTTTGATGCTCTGTTTTTTATTGTATTTGTATAGAGTTCAGAAAAAATTTGATACGTGAGCTTTCTAATTTTTCATTTTTTTTTTTTCTGTTGAGATATTTTGCGTAAGAGATTAGTTTTTTAATTTCTGAAAGAGGAAAGCTAATTTATTGATCTTAAGGAAAACAGGAGTGTCCAGAATTTTTTAAGAAATTACTTGGTTTTGATGACTGTCAGTTTTTTAATTTGGAATTTTTTGGATTTGCTTTAAAGATACGTTTTTACAGCCCGCCATGTCCAAACGGAAAACTTGCAGCTCAAGTTCGTTTTGTACATTGTTCTATGCGAAATGCTTTTGGGCTGCGTGTTTTGTACCTGTTTTTCAACATTCCATTCCTTTTTTTACAGGTAATATTGACTGTGTGATTTCGTTGTGAAAATAATTATCTGTAATCTTTAGCATTGCTCAATGAGTACTAGTTACCGTGGTAAGTTCCAAAACTACCACAATATGCCTTTAAACATTTTCAAATCAGTATTAGACAGAGGTAGCAAAGTAGTACCGATTTAAGTTTTTTTGATATCTTTGTCACCATCTAGTTGAAAAGTATAGTCTTAATCTGTGAAGAGCATCAATAGCAGTTAAATTTTTAGCGTGAAACCCTGTTGCGTCAACTTGAAACAAACAAGGACGAAATTCAATTAAGCTATGAGGAACTTGATCTTTTTGAAGAAACTCGAGAAGCAAATTATGACTTGTAAGCTGTCGTCGTAATAGACTAGATTTTTTTGGCTAAATTACTTCAGATGTGTTTGTTTTACATTTCTTTTTGATACGATGAAGTATTTGAAGATTTCTTGAAGAACTCGTGGCTAGACGTAGGTTGGCTGCTGAAAAACATTCTGCAACTTATGGTAGAAATAGCATTGGAACTATTTCCACTCCAATGGGTAGAGGACAGCCAATTCCGGTTTCTCCGAACGATAGCGTATTCAGGAAAGCAGAGTTTTTGCCTCCCGCGAAGCCTCAAACTCTTGGTTGGTGGTACTTGTCTTTTTTAACTGTATTTAATGCATTGGTACTTATAAGCTCTGATTTGAACTTGTCATTCGTTCGGTTGTTGAAGATGTCCAGTAATTGTTATAGTTTTATGATTAGTAAGTTTACTAAGAAATTGTACTTTTCTGCAGCAGTAGGTTCTGAAGTACGCCATTCTGATGCTCCACCTAGTTCGATTCCACCAAGCAACTCACCAGCGGTTGAAAATGAAAGGCATGAAGTATCAAAGGAGCCTTTGAATAACAGATGCCCATCTCTCAGTAGTGACAGGTACCTACTCTTCTGTATCATCTTCCTACTAAATTTTGTCCGGAGACTCGCTATTAGTAGTTAACCTAGAAACTACGTCAATTGGGTGTTGCATTTGGGTACTATTTTTTCAGACGAATTTGTTGGTTTTCTTTTTTTTTTTTGCTTTAATTTAATATTTTATAATATATAAACATTTTTCTCGTTAAAATGTACATTCAGTGAACCAAATGTAATGGTCACTCTAGAAGAGGAGGATTTTGTTCCAGTCGCGTATCCACCTCCCACTTTATCCATGGAAAAATATAAACGAACTGTAGTCGAGCTTGACGTAGACAAAAAAAAGACTAAAGATGAAGGAGATTCCGGTTTGTTCAGAGTTTTAATTTAACTGAAGTTTGGATGCTGCAACTCAAGCGACTTTCATATAAGAAGATGAGATAATATTTACTTTTGATGTGATAGTTGATGAAGTATTCTG